TCGTATTTTTCTTTTGATGGCCACTTAATTTCGGCATGAACTATAAATGGAAAGATAGCAAGCTATCAATCTTCTTCTGCTTCCCTCCATCCTAACAAGCTATTGCTTTTTCTGATCCATCATCTGCTCATATCACATGCCCAAAGTATGTGAGTTTCTGCTGACTGAATTTTTCTGCAGAAGACCCCTGACAAGCTTCTGAGCAATGACAACGTTCTTTGGAGCATGGTGGCTTGTGAAAAACCACCAAAGCAGCTGGCAGAAATGTAAACACAAATGTGCTGAAAATTGTACCTGAGGGAAGTGCTGCTATAGTCAGGGAAGCATTTCTGTAAGTGTTGATAACTGAGCCACTAAAAACATTTGGTATTATTTACAAGGTTGATCTCAAGGGCAAATGAATCTCAGTACTTCATACATTTCCATAACATCTGTTTAAGGGCTGTGGCTGGGATATAATTAAATGTATTTTTTATCTGACACTTAAAAAAAATCCCTCTGTACATCTAAATCCCAGTAGCAACAAGTATGATGGAGATAACATTTCAATATATTTGAATAATTTCTGTTAGCGCGATTGAACTCTTACATAAAATTTATTTAGTTTCATTACTAGCCAAAAGTAATAAAGTCCTTATTTCTAATATCTGTATTTGTTTTTAAATTCTATAATCATATGCTCAAAGCAATATATATTTCAAACAATGTGAAATAAAATCATTGTGATCCAGGAGACATGTTATACAGGAGATGGTTTCATGCAAACACTGATATACAAGTTCTTCCTTGGTGACCCTGAATGCTCTTCCCATGAGAGTAGCTTGCACATCTTGTATACAATATGAAGCATTCAAAGAAAAAAATGTATATTTTAATTCATTTTCCTCATATTTTAACATTTTACTTTCATGCTCACAATGTAGGTAACATTAATTGATCAAAATACAATTCTAACAACAGTTTCAATTAAGAACAGGTCACATCAAATTAAAATTACTGGTGACACAGCAACGTAGTAAGGTTTCAAAGCTTTCATGGAATAAGAAGACCTCAACTTGCTCTGGAAGGTTACTAGAGGACAGACTTCATAAGGAAGAAAATTCCATAACTCAGACACTACTGCAGTGGGTTTCCTGAGGTGGAAATTTTACTGGAAGTAAAGAAAGTTCTATTCCACTCAAGGTTGCATCTGAAGAATCTGAAGACTTGGGAAAGTCTATCCCAGAAAGCATTCTCTCCTATTGTGCATCAAGTCCAGGGGTGGACTAAGTCCATGAATCAAATAAAAACCTAAACTCACTTTTACGCTAGCACAGCACTCTCTTATTGCACCCCTGAAATGTCAGTAAATAGCAGTATCTGGAGCAGCCAAGAGTTACAGAAGAATGACACATCATTGTCCTGAGTTCACTCACATGGGCAGAACTAATCTTTGTATTGTTATGTTTCTTGTTTTAGGTACATTAATCCTACTCAGAGACTTGGAGAACACCTTGTATACTTTACTGCCTGAAACGAATGGCAAAACAAGCAGCCCATTTTCTGCTGTTTAAAGATCACGAGGTTGCCTAGGGTACACCTGTATGTTGGTGACAAAGTTCCATTTGGAAGGGAGGGCAAATGGAACCAGCTGAACATCATAAAAGAGGGCAATTGCTTACATCAAGTTATTATACTGTGTTGCATCTAATAGTATTCTCAGATTGCATAAATGGTCCCTCAAAGAGCATCTCTTGTGCTTAGGTGGTGTCATTTTAGCTATACAACCAATACCACTCACAGCTTGATAATTATAAACAGAGGGAACAATTAGTTCTGGAGCTAAAGTAGAGATAAAACAAAGTGCTTATCTTCCTGCACCAGTTTCTGCTGTTACTGACTCAATATCTATAACCCTGCACCCTTAAGCTGCTCCCATCCAGTGCTCATGCTGGTTGGGCTCTAAAATGGTTTAAGACAATTCTGGTTAGGGATGCTTCTGAAGCAAGTTGACAGTCTGGATTGCCAGCTACCATGCCAGGAAAGCAATTGCAAACTCTTTATTCATATTTATTTAAATGTAAATAAATTTATAGGTAGGCAGGTGGGCAGATATAGATAGATAGATAGATAGATAGATAGATAGATAGATAGATAGATAGATAGATAGATAGATAGATAGATATGTTATGTGGTATAATAGCCACATGATATGTTATAATAAAAGTTAAAATGAATTTATATGTACAAAGTTAAAACATCAAAATGCACATATATGTGGGCACAATTACCATCATGCATTTTCTTTGCTGTTCCTCAATAAGCCCTGCTTTACATTACAGGTCATTCTCAATAGTGTAGTAGTTCTAATACTTACTTGACACAAAGTGTACTAGTGTTTTTTTTTTTTTTTAATCTGCAAACAGCAGGTAGCCTAAAGAAAGAAAAATAGTAATTAAAAAAAAAACCAAACCAAACCTGGGTTTCATACTGAAGATGTTCCACATGTCAAGCAAGTGCTACAACCACCGTGTTATTGAGAAAGACCTGCAACAGAGGCAGCAGCAGACTTTAGCGAGGAAAATACGGTCAGGGGGCATTTCTGCCTCTGCACAGTTGCTATCACACCAGTCAATGATGTGTGAGCTGGCATGAGCCAGAAAGAAACTACTTTCAACTCAAAGCATGACAATATGAATAGAGGTGGTATTCACAGTGGGCTGAGGTAAGCAGAAGATGGCAAGACTGTTCCTGCCCTTAAGGGCAGATGTGCCCCTTTTTGGAGCTAGCTGCTAGGGAGCTATATGGACCCTATAGCTATACGCATAAGGGGTAAGGGTGCCTGATTCCTTCTTTCAATCCTCTGCTCCAACCTCCCTCCCCCCTTTCCTGCATAGGCACTTTCCAAAATAAGCCTCCGTTGGTTGGTAAGCGTAGAGGTTCTTTATTTGGCTTTTAAAAAGTGGACATGGGATGAAAGGAAGTTTGGTTTTTTTTAAAAGGACAAGGGAATCAAGTGACGGATTAGATTTCCACCTCCCCATGTACTATGGTTACAGTCTAGATATGGAGATAGATAGATATTGTGCCTTTGAGTCAGTATTGACTCCTGGCAACTGCCTGGATAAATCCTTGCAGTTTTCTTGGCAAGGTTTTTTGGAAGTGGTTTGCTGTTTGCCTTCTTCCTAGGGCTGGGAGGGAGAGACTGGCCCAAGGTCACCCAGCTGGCTTTGTGCCTAAAGTGGGACTAGAACTCACGGTCTCCTGCTTTCCAGCCTGGTACCATAACCACTACATCAAACTGGCTCTCTATTATATATTTACAATTAAGTAAATAAAACAAGAAACTGGAGGAGCGTGACATACAATTTGGTATCATCTTTCATTCTAAGCCAAAGGCAAGATGCAACAGTCTCACATTTGAGTTCTATCACATGAAGCTTTGTGTAAGACATCGTTTTCAAAAATTCACACTCCCATGATGGATGCACATTTAGAAAAAGAACATGGGACTCTAATTCTTTACATGACAATGGCCGCAAGAATGCGTGGCTCAATGCTGGAAAGATCAGGCATTACCTACGTTAGAGGAATGGATAGTTAAGTTGTCATAACACGTGGGGATGGCAAAATTGACGGCGATCATAAAGGAAAAAACACTGAAAAAATTAAGAAGGCCTTGAAGCCTTTTACTGATTTCTTGTATGAAATTGAACATAATCGAATAGTGACATATGGATTTGATGATTTGTTATAATAATAGACTATTCGGAAAAGTAGAAGTCTTATTATAAAGTTAAACAAGGTTGTATGAAAAGTTTTTGGTGTATCTCTTCTGCAAAGGAAGTCGGAAGTCCTTTGGTTAAATGTTCGTATATGTTCGTATTATTTCTTCTACTGTTTTTCTTTAACTCTTTTAATCCTTGTATATTTTTTTTCCTTTTGTTTTCTCAATTTGGACATTATGAAAAATAAAAATAATTGGAAAACAAAAATTAAGGGATTTGGCATAATGTGAAAACAACTTAAGTACTGTGTATTGAAATTAAAAAATAAAGCCAAATTCCACATTGCAAAACCTGCAATTTCAATTTGCAAACCATTCTATCAGTGACTCACCTACCCTGCTAGCCATCAGTGCAGAGATCCCAGGAGATTGGAAACTGCTTTTGAACTTGACCTTTAGAAAAATGGCAGCCACCTTTTCTGATTTCTTTTCATTTCCTTATTTACCAGTTCTTTATAAGCTTCTGACTTCAGAAACCGTGGGAAAGAGTCTTTTGCCATGAGGCTGTAGATTAGTTTTTGAGCATCATCAAAACACTTGAGAGTTGGTTTTGAAACAGTCTGCATGATGTGGTCTCTGGTATTGAAGTCAATGTTTATCTGCAGGGAATACAATTATTTATTCTACTGGATATATGAAATGTTGTCTGGGAGCCAAAAACAAATACAATTTGAATTGTATCCTAAAATACACTCTTTGATGCAAAGCAACAGGAAGGTCAGGCTTTTATTATCTAGAATATTGAATATTAATTTTAATTTGGTTTCCTACTCCCAAAAGCCATTTATCTTTGTAACAACAAAAACAATAACAGGTTTTCTGGTGAATAAGATGATAAAGCACTCCAGTATTTGTGTCATTTTTTTTTTCTCACCTGACTAATATCTGATTATTGAATTTCAGTGTGTATACTTTCAAGGCAATTAAAAAAACAAATTCCAACCATCTAATCTAGAAAGCTGTAGGAACTACATTTCCATGTGTACAACAGAACCACAAATTCTTTCTCTTTCTTTACAAAACCTTCATCCATACTCCAGTTATAGCTTGACCTGACAGCTGCTGCCTTCTTTTCGTAATCCTACCTACTTAATCACTGAACTTTTACAAACATTAGAATTCATAGAGTGGATCTGGACATTTTAGCATTTTTTTTTTTCAAAGAAAATGTCCCATTCTACTTGAAAGTTCACAAAGAGAAGCAAAAATGAGGTTATATAATTAAATCAACATACTATCATTATGGGACAAGTGGTTGTAATGCACCCAACTGTCAATAGGCCTAAGCCATGTATAAAAATGGGAAAAGAAGGATGGACGACATGTTTTTAAATAGAAAATCAAAACTGGCTCAGCACTTTTAGATATTTTAATCCCTAAAAGAGGGACCTTGCATCCATCAGAGAAAATAATCAGAGACAAACTGACCACTAAGCTAGAAATCACAGATAAGCAGGATATGAAGAAATATAAAATCCTTTAGCAAATGCTTTTTGCAAAAGGATGACTTATGCCAGTGACACAAGATAAGGGTAACTTTTATTTATGCAACATATATGTGTAAAACTAATCATAATACTGTATTTTAGACTGTTAACAGAACTGAATTGTGAGTATCTCCTTTTTATTGTTGTGTTCCAAGCTGATAAGCAGGATTTGCTTGCATCAACACTTGTTACTCATCATGAGTGTTCTGCCTTTGAATATTTTAATTTTCCCATTGTCTTCTGCCTGAAAGCCCTGGCAAGCATTTTTCCCTCTGGACTATTGGAAAAGGTTATAGTGTGGCTCTTACTACATCATCTGATTCATCAACTTGGCATCTTCCAAGTGTTTGAATTATAATTATCACAATCCCTGACCAATTTTAAGATAATATTTCATATGAAGAGGGCTGCAAAGGCCTTTTTCCTTGAGCCCTGGGGATTATGAGCAATGCCATCAAAAGCATGTGGAGTACACCACATGTTCTGGTGGTGTACCACTGGATTAGACAATATTGGGCTAGAAGGAACAATAGTCCAACTCACTGTAGGCAGACTTATTGAATTGTTTTCAGTGATAATTTTGAAGCCAGTCTTCTGTATACTCGGTACAATGTCTGAATTTCAGTTGTATGGAACACACCAATATTACATTCTATGCAATGAATGTTGACATTGAAACTATATTATTTCAGTAAGACTTACTTTCAGTTAATCATGCTAAAGATTGTGGCCAAAAATTCACAAGTAGCTCCAAACTTTTTATCTAGGCACGCATGGCATCATCCCTAAATCCCATATCATCTTAGATCCTCAAAGTGAATAGTATCAAATGCCACAGAAGTCCAGCCATTGCAAGGCCACCATGGCTGCTTCCATCCCCAAATTTGACTTGAACCCAGGTTTTTTTTTTTTTTTTAATCTGCGCTCAGTCATT